CCCCCTCTCAGCGTCGGTCAGTGTCTCTCTCCACTTCCCCCCCAACACCCCCCACATGCGCACGTGCTCAGGAAGGTACCAAGTGCACAGGGGGGGCCTGCGGCCTTAACAACTACACTACACTGCACACTAAACATTAAACGAAAATAAAAAAATCTTGCTTGGAGCCCAGGGATTCAGATCGCAACCCCCCCCTGTTCACATACGGGACCCCATATGGGGTCGCGACCCACACTTTAAGAAGCACTGATCTAGAAGATTGTAAACTTACTTTTTGAAGATGCCCATAGGATGGACTTCCTCAATGCACTGACACCATTTCACTCAGACCTGTGAATACGCCCTTCCTGGTGTCACCACTCTCACAGAGCCGGCCTTCTGAACAACAACTCAGCATCTGAACAATGTAACATTGTCATTGCTTGCTGGAAGCAGTGCATGATGGGATATGTAGCCTTGAGAAATGGTGAAAGCAGCAGGGAAAGAGACGCAAAGCACACTGGGAATCCGGGAAGTTGTTGGAAGTGATGGGGAGACGGAAGGCGGCGCTCACTACATAAAAGGGATTTTTTATCAAGTAAGCTTCGATTGTATTACCGACAACAACTCTATGATACGCCTGCGACGGTTCTCATTCGTCCAGGTCACATGGTATATCTGTAAAAAAAAAAAAGTCAAGGCAACTGGACTTGCTGTATTTTTTTTTGAAGACTTTTTGCTGGTCATACGACTAACTCAAAAGCTAGTTGGATGGCCAGCAAAACGTCTTCAAAGATACAGCAAGTCCAGTTGCCTTGGTTTATTTTTTACAGATGACTCCAGTGTGAATTCCTATTACAATGCTGATGTTACGACAGGAGAGGATCTGCCGGGACTTTACAACTCCTTTAATAAAAAGAGATGGAAATTCTTATTTGCATTGAAAGGCCGGAAACACCGAGCGTGGTCAGTTTGGAAACAATATAACTGTATAGATTATGGTGAGAAGGGACGAATTCATTCAATTCTATTTACATAGTTACATAGTATTTGAGGTTGAATAAAGACACAGATCCATCAAGTTCAACCTTTGTGTGTCTGTATGTGATTGTGCATGTGTGTGTGTGTGTGTGTATATGAATCACTGTGTGGTCTAGTTTTTAGGCTGGGTTCACACCTAGGCAGTGGCGTCACAAGGGGGGTGCGGCCCGCACCCGGGTGACACCATTGGAGGGGTGACACCAAAATGACT